TTTTATGATCTTTGCAATAGTTTTCGAGATATTAATATATAAAGCTTGTCGAATCTGAACGTGCAACGAGATACGCCCCAGACATCTTGTATAATTAAAACCAGCAAAATCACGTGTAAATTTCATCAAAGCGTCTATAAAGTTGATAGTAAAATTTAGATCTTCAAAATATCCATGAATGTTTCCTTTCTGTTAGATCAAAATCATGTATCTTCGTGTTTTAAAATTCGATAAATATCCTCATTGTTCCACATATTAGTTGGAATTAATTTGTGAACTAAGAAAGGAATTGAATATAAAAAAGTAAATAAAAAGTAATAAAAAATAATAAACAATTCTGAATAATAATTACAAAATAAAATAAATATATTAAGAAAAGTAACTGTCTAAAGAGAAATGAAACTAAAAAGAGAACAAACTTACAATAAATTACGGAGCATAATGTGATTTTCGCTTCTGCTTTTGTCGCATTTAAGAACGAAATAACATATTACAAGAACTAAATACGAAGAGTGTCGAATCACCTGACGTTTTTATGTATATCAGTAATTAAAAATCATTATTATAATAAATCCTCTCGAGTTTAAATACGAATCTAAAAATATCGTATCGTCGTTAAAATTAATCCCATTCTTTTGGACTTTGATATGAATCACTTCTGATATTTATAATTCTGATTTTTATAATAACTTTTATAATAATTTTGTTCTATATCAAGTATTTGTACATCATCCCAATCGAATGTATGATTAAATTCTAACATATGATTTATAACAACCGAATGTTTGGAGATATCTTGATTTATGGTTTTTCCGTATTCTGAGACTTTCGTTTTCAATTGTCTTTTTGTTTGCCCTACATATGAAACGTTAGGTCGGGAGGACATGAAATGCATAATGCGGTATAAGCATAGCATAAGACGGCTAAACCAATGAGAATCTTATGTAAATCAGTGTGGCAACTTTATGCTGCTCATTGGTCTAGCCGCTTTATGCTATGCTTATGCTTCGTTATGCATTTTATGTAGTCCAGGCCTTACAATCATTACATAAGATTTTATATACAACATTAATATTACAATCATTGTGGTCCCTATCTTTATGTTTCCTTATAAAATTATTCAATTTATTTGAACATCTATATCCAATCAAGATTTCATCTCTATTTACAGCTAAAGCTATACTACTATCTTCGACACATTTTTAATATACGGAAAGGTCGTAATCTTATTCTCATTATTTGATTCCAATTTTAAGCCATTCAGTTTTTTAGCCATTAAATTTTTAATTCTAGCATCCATTTTGTTCAGAATTAAATTCAACGGATATCCGTTATTGATCAAATTTGACAAACTACTGTAAATTTTTTTGATGAAACGAAGAGTGTGATAATAATATAGCTCTATCTACTAAATTCTATATTGTACCGATTTTATTACAATCTGGATGGTTAGAAATAAATGATAGATATCTTCCGAAAGAAAACTCTGTGGAACCAATCTAATTTTATTATTGATTATATTTAAGAAATATCTAAAAAGCTAATACTATGTTCTTTTTCAATTTCAACAGTAAATTTTAATCTTTACGTGAAAACTATTGAAAAATGTTTAGTATGTCATTTACTTTATTTTTGAATGTTGTTAATAAGATATCGGAAATAGAAAGGTAATTCTAATTCAATATTTGCAAACGTTTTGTTCTCTAACAAGTAAATCTCGGGAAACGTTAGACGCCAATTTTTCTCAAATTTTTTACAGATGTTTCTTATGTTAAAATATGAAAGAATCTGTCATTAGTTTTAGCTCAAATTTATTTTTTTCAATTAAAAATATAATCAATATAAAGATCAAAACAGATTTTTATCTTCGAAGGTTTTTTCACGAATCTTGGCTAATGGTGAAAAATGCACACAAAAATGGTTGGTATATTCAGAGTCTACTGCAAATGTTTTTTGCTATGTCTGCAAGCTTTTTAGTGGAAATAATACAAACACATTTGTAAACGGCGAATTTAGCAATTGGAAGAAACCAGAAGAAAAAATTAGTGGACATGAAAATTCTGCAGAACACAAAAAATGTATGCTTATTTGACCTTCACGCATGTATGAAAAATCACATATTAATAATGATATAGCAAAGCAGCTAACAGTTGAGATTAAATATTAGTCCGAAGTTTTAAAAAGCATTGTTGAAATAATTCGTTTTCTTTCTGTACGCGGTCTTGCTTTTCCATGCGGTGAGCATGGTTGGTTCTCCAAATAATGGAAATTACTTGGGTGTTCTAGAACTGATATTTAAATTTGATCCATTCTTACAAAAACACTTCAAGTTGCATGCAAATCAAGATCACAGACATGTCTTTTATTTACCAAAAGATATTTGCGAAGAATTCATTCACATGATGGCTAACAAAGTTAGGAACGAAATTGTTAATCAAATTAAGAGAGCAAAATATTTCAGCCTTATTGTAGATTCGACACCAGATATATCCCACGTTGATCAATTATCTGTTGTATTCCGATACTGTTTAGATGGTTATGTATGTACATAAACGGTTCTTTTGCTTTCTACCTATTAATAGCTATACTGGAGCATCATTGAATGAAATAATGTTACAAGTCTTTTGCAATAATAAAATTGATATTGTTAATTGTCGAGCGCAAACTTATGATAATGCTAGTAACATGAGCGGAAAATACTCGGGATTATAAGCGCGAATTAAAGAAGTTAATCCTCTTGCGTATTATGTTAATTGTGTAGGACACTCACTAAATTTAGTTGGCAAGTGCAGCATAGATGAATGTATCGATTCTGTTAATTTTTTCAGGCTCGCACAACGACTTTATGCTTTCTTTTCCGTTTCAACGCATCGTTGGAGTATATTGCTAAAATACGAGAGCATTGCATTAAAAAGTTTATCTTTTACAAGATGAAATCACGCCGCAATGATACCATTACAACATTAGCTAATAATTATCCAGAATTATATAATTCATTACATGAGATTGAGCAAAGTGCAGGAGAAAAGTCCGCAACTCGTAACGAAGCAGCGTTCTTAAAAAATAAACTAATAAAACTATAAACTGCATTTAAACAGTTTTTTGGCATCTTCAGTGGTTCAATACAACAAGCAAATTTTTGCAAAAAGTCGAACTCGATTTGATTACGGCTAATGATATTACATTCGCTAGTTAATTTTATTAGTAACTTACGAAATGATTTTGCAGCAATAGAAAACGATGCTAAAAATTTAGGCTCTTTTGTGCAACAAGAATACTCTGATACACAAAAACGAAAAATTACGAGAAAATGTACAGATAATATAACAGAGATTCAAAATTTAGGTGGTAGCGAAAAATTTCGTATTGAATCATTTAATGTGATCGTTGATAAACTTCGAATTGAATTAAAGAAACGAAGTTCAACGTATAATCATATAACAGAGTTATTTGGCTTCCTAACTAAACTAACGAGCATCGAAATCGATGAAATGCGAGAGTGCGCTAATCGTCTTGTAAGCACTAGTATTCCCATGATTTAGAAACTAGTTTAGATTGCGAACTGGAACAATTTATTCCGTTTATAAAAACTAGCTTAAAAATGTTGCATTCTTTTCATTAAACATTTTAAAATGGATATACTTTCACAAACTTGAAGAAGTCTTTTTTAATGTGTATGTAGCATTTAGATTATTTTTGACAGTATCGATCATAAATTGCGAAGCCGAGCGATTATTTTCCAAATTAATAATAATAAAAAATAAATATCGATCTACAATGACGGATAACAGATTATCGTCATTAGCATTATTAGTCATAGAGAGCGAACCGATGAAAAATCTTGATTTTAATGATTTAATCCATGAATTTGCGTATAATAAATTAAGAAAAAAAACTTTTTAGTACCACTATAATTTTAATAAAATGTGAATTATCTTTTAGTATTAAGAACTGCTTTGTATTTTTTAAGCAGAAATGACAAAAGTTATACGATCACGTTTCTTAAATAACAAATGCAAAATATGTATGTATTTTGCATTTAAATCATTGTTATTATTTAACAATAACAATAATTACATATATACATATATATAACAATTTTTACTAAAAATATTTATTATCTATACTGTAATAAGACAATTTTTATGAATGAAGGGAGCCCCGTATTAATATTAGCCCTTGAGGCAAAAATACCTTAAGCCGGCTCTGTCTATGAAATTATTCAAAATTATATTTAATTTACGTAAAGATTTATGGTAGTATTAATGGAATTTAAATTTTGAGAATTCATAAATGTTTCGAAGATTTAAGCTTTCTGTCAACTTTATGGACGCTTTGATGGGATTTACACTTTACTTTTCTGGTTTTAATTATATATATGACAGCTATGGTAGATTGACTTATTTGTATGTTAGTAGATTTTAATTAAATATATACAACTGAGGAAGTCTTTGTAAGTCGAAACTAATTTCGCGAATTTTTAATGTATCTAGAACATTAAATTTATCTTTTAATTATGAAACATCGAGTGTTATTAGCTCATCTTTGGTTGATTTTTCCTGATATTTATATTTAAAATTTTTAATATTAAAAAAGTTGTATACATATTTTGAGTTACAAAAAATAATATCCAGATAACTGTTAAAAAGAGATTAAACATATAATTCTCGTATAAGTCAGATTGGAAATGCATCTTTGCAAGTCTTACAGTTCTTATATATGTAGTTTTGTAACATGATTTTTAAACATTCTAGATTAAACTTCGAAAATAACCTGCTTGATTGTTTTGCGCAACTGTGAACTTAACTGATTTAATGAATTCGGATTCTTAATAATAAATATAAAAAGTGTAAAAAATAAAAAAACAAAAACGAAACAAAAAATTCAATATAATTTTGATTTAAAAATGCCAAAGAAATAAAATTATACAATACTTGTAAAAATTGCATTTTTAACAAAGAAAAATAATAAAATCATCTTCAGCATTAAATTAATTGGAGAAACGGAGATTAAATTATTTATCGAAAAATATAAAGATTGTATGAAGAAAAACCTCATTGAATCATCCTAGAACATGTCGAAATTCCATCTTGACCGATCACACAAGAGTCTCTGTTACACAAGGTGCATGGACTTCAGCACGGACTTGAAAGATGTCCATGCAGTATGATTTTTGTTGAATACCACAATCCTCGTTATTAGAGGAACACTCCATGGATCAGAAGCGGGATATCTCAGACTCCTCGACAATGTCAATGATAATTTGATTTTTGTCGACAATAACCCTATTATCATCGAGGTCATGTTTTTTATTATCAACGTCCTGTTTATTATTATCATCAACATCCTGATTATTATCGTTGACATCTTGATTGTTACCATCGCTGTCCTGATTATTGTTGCTGAGGTCTGAATTGTTACGGTCGACATTCTGGTTATTATTGTCGACATTCTGGTTTTTATTATCGACGTTCTGATTGCTATTATCGATATTTTGATTATTGTGACCAACGTTTTGGTTATTATCATCGACGAGATCCGCCCGCTCGGTATTCTCCGTACCGTCATTACCGCCGTTAACGTCATTCCTTACCCTTCGTTCACCGAACTGTCGTTGGTAGTATTCTTCGCGCATCAACTCATTGATGTTGCGCCAGTGTAAGCACATTATCAAAATGAATGGCTTACGAATTTCCTTATTGAAAATCGCGTAGATGATTGGATTCAACGCGCTGTTACAGTAACCGAGCCAAAGGAACAGAGATGATACTGAGTGCGGGATATCATCAGGTTTGTAGAATGGTCTAATTAGTGCTAACATAAAGAATGGCAGCCAACAGACGATGAAGGCACCAACGATGATACCCAAGGTGGTGCTCGCCTTTCGTTCACTTTTCCTTCTTCTCAGCTGGCGTCTATTACAAATGCAGACCCGATTGTTACTCGTTCTTAACATCCTTATCGATTTCTGCAGCATGTTTCGTATAGGACTCTCTCGGCGCTCATCAGTAGAGTGACGTCTTGGACTATCTCCGCTCTGTAATAAAACAATTCAGTAAATAACATTATTTATATATAAAATAGAAAAGCAGTAGAAAAGGACGAGGAAATATTCTAATGCAAATTGTGTTATTTTGGCATCTATTTTTATTCGAGAAAAATTTCTCACATTGTGACATTCTGTATTGTAATGATGAGCATAATCGGTTATTTCAGAAAACTGACACATGCTCAAAAAAATTATGGCATAGAGAGAGAAAAATTTTAGGCAAAAATTGATCAACTTTAGCTAACGGTAACTCCGCGAAAAATTATCTTAAAATGATGAACTTTTTTTCAAATGGAAACTTGAAATCTTTACTTTAAGGTACTGTAGGTCGATTTTAAATTTAATGCACCCCTGCTACTATAAACTCTTAAATCTGAGAGCATGTTTGCCATACTGAAAATTGCAGTTTGACGGCACGCACGGACTTGCTAAAATTTTTCTCGGAGATGCGATTTGCAGCGTCATAAAGTTTGAACCTTTCTCTTTAATTTGAAAAAAAAACAAGTCGCTACGATTTTTTTCACAAAGTTACAGCATTTTAAAGTAACCCTTTTATTTTTTTCATGTATTATCGGCATTAGCCGATGTGCATCATAGGGAGGTTGACGAATGAATTTTGTACACTGTGTGTGTATGTGTGTATGTTTTACACGCCCGCGTACACACAATGTGCAAAATCCGATCGCCAATGGTGACACTGCAAAACTACATTCCCGAGAAAAATTTTAGCAAGTCTGTGTATTCTGTCAAATTTTGCAATTTTCTCATGTATGGTCGGCATTACCCAATGTGCACAATAGAAAAATTGGCGATCGGATTTTGCACGTTGTGTGCGGGCGGCCGTATGTAAAACATACACACATACACACATAGTGAGCAAAATTCGATCGTCAATGATGCACATCGGGTAATACCGACCATACATGAGAAAAATACAAGGGTTACTTTAAAATGCTGTAACTTTGTGAAAAAAATCGTAGCGACTTGTTTTTTTCTTCAAATTAAAGAGAAAGGTTCAAACTTTATGACGCTGCAAACCGCATTCCCACGAAAAATTTCAGGTAGTTCGTGCATTCTGTCAAACTTTGTAATTTTTAATATGGTAAACATGCTTTCAGATTTAAGAGTTCGCAGTAGCAGGGATGCATTAAATTTAAAATCGACCTACAGTACCTTAAAGTAGAGATTTCAAGATTTTATTTGAAAAAAAGTTCATCATGCAATGATTTTTCGCTGAGTTACCGTTAACCAAAGTTGATCAATTTTCGCCCAAAATGTTTCTTTTAGAAAAATACATTTTTCACAGAACTTGATGCTTTGAGCATCAATTTATTAGATTGCCTTTGGCAAT